TTATTGAATGATTGGCTTGCACTAGCTGCCCACCTCAATGTTGTGAATGCATGCTAGAGGGCAGTAGGGAGTGACAAGGTTGGTTGGTGCATGATTAGCAATTAAATGAATTAATTGGATATTAAAACAATGGTGTCATTATTTGTTTCTTCTCTTCTTCACTACAGCTGTATGACTGATCTGATGGTTTGAAGTTCACTTTAAGTTCTGTGAGATTGTTCTTTTGAGGAGATGAGATTAATAAAAGTTCTTATCTCTTCATTCAGTGGAATGGATACACTCAACTGCTGTAGACTGATGTTGTGTCCGGGCTGAGACCACTGAGTTGTTAGGAAGGACAGGAATGAACTGGGAATGACATTATTAATCTTAAGGTATTTCAGTGTTTGGTTTTGTGTTAGCATGTCTTGTAGACTAGTACCCATACTGCTGTTTCCTTTATCTCCACACTCAGAGCTCTAAGTGTAGTATTGGTTTGTAGAATAGTAAATAGTTCAATAGCACTCTCAGCTGTGTCTAGTGGTAAAGTAAGTGTATGTAGACTGGGATGAAAGAGAAATAGAAGATGTGGTGGGTATGGATCAGGTAGTATCAGACAGTGTAATCCTTTGATATGTGGAAGGAGTGATGATACCATCAGTTCACTAATATTCCATCCTCCTATCTCTAGAGCAGTCAGTGGTGTGTTCACCTCTACTATATTCAGTGATGATGGTAGGACTAGTTCATTAGAAATTTTCAGTGAAAGAGCTTGTAATGTATGTGTTGTTGTCCTTTAGTAACTGCTCTATTACTCCATCAGGTAGAGGAGGAGGAGTACCAACAACATGTATTATAAATGATGTTATTGTTTTATTTCTTGTTACTCCTCTAATGACACTGATAATGGTACTTGTTATTTCATTCAATTCATTAATACCCAATCTTCATTTCTTGTAGTGTTGAATTCATTTCTATACATTTCTCAAGTTCAGTGCACTTGTCTGTGTAGTATGTATTGTCAACTGTTGGTATGATAGGAATGTCCATTATTAAGTGCAGTATCTTCAATTGAGGAAGATTGAGGAACTGTAACAATACAAGACAGGGAACATATTGACCAAATAATAATTCACAGTAGCACTCCTGAATATTGTATAGAAGTGATGATTGTAATGATTTGTGTATTAATTCAACAGTGGGGTAATACAACTCTACCTCCAGTCCTTAAAGGCCGATTTACACTGCAAAATTAACGTAAGGTAAGGCTATACGTTAGACAGGAAGTGCT